GATCGGGTGTCACGAACCGACACGTAGTAATAGGGGGATCGGGTGTCACGAACCGACACGTAGTAATAGGGGGATCGGGTGTCACGAACCTACACGTAGTATCAGGGGATCGAAGTGTCACGTACCGACACGAGAGAAATAAAGATAATGAATCTTGAAAGATGTTAATATACTCAATTTAATGAACCTAATTCCCAAATGAGTATGATGGGGAGGCGTGAGTCCTCATTGATGTGCTTGGTGTTGTGACCAGGGGTTATGGTAATTTTAAATGCCGCATGTTGAGTATTGTAGTTGATTTTATGATATTATCTGATATATACTGTTTTCTATTTTGAGTTGGCCGATGATATCTACTCAGTACTCGTGTTTTGTACTGACCCCTACTTGTATGTTTTCTTTTTGTTCATTGTGGAGTGCAGCAAATGTACCATCGTCTTCAACTCAACCGCAACTCTAGCCAGTCGTCATTATACCGGATCTCTGGGGAGCTAATGCTTCTAGCTTGGACTGGATCTTCTTCTTCATGTCTTGATGCCTTGAAGTTCCGGCATGGACTAGCTTTTTATTTATTCTGGCCTTTTAGATACTCTTAGAATTAGTAATTTGAGGATAGTTGTTCTTGTGATGATGACTTCCAGATTTTGGGGATGATGATTTATAAATTTTAGAAGTTGTTTTATCGATTTCGTTAATGAGTTTTAAGTCTTCCGCATTGTATTTTGTTCATTATACTTGAAATGGTGGGGTTTAGATTGGTTGGTTCGCTCACATAGTAGGATAAGTGTGGGTGCCACTCGCGGCTCGATTTGGGTCGTGACATTTTTATATTTTCTTTGCAAGAATTAGTTATTCATTCTTAAAAATAATATTTTCATCTTATTTATCTTAAATATATTTATGTGTGCATTTCCATGATTGTGCCGTACGTTTTAAAAATTAAACTTTCATCTTATTTAACTTAAAAATTAAACTTTCATTATATTTAACTTCATAGTAAAATATTTTTCTTATTTAGCTTAAAACAAGATTTTCATCGTATTTAGCTCAAAAATAAAACTTTCAACTTATTTAGTTTAGAAGTAAAACTTTTATCTTATTTACCTTTAAAATTAAGACTTTCATTTTAAGTTTATTAAAATAAAAGAAAATAAATTTTAAACGTTATTTATATTTTAGTTATAAATAAAATATAATTTTTCATTGAGTAATAAACTATATAATGAAAAATATGTAATTTAGTAGTGGAGTGAACATTTCAAGAGAAATCAAAATATAAATAAACATATTAACTATGCAAATAAATTCAACTTAAAATATATTGGAAAAATGCATAAGTTCTCCTTCAATATATGCCTGAAATCCCAGAGAAACACTTATACTATACTAATGTCCTATTACATCCTGGATCTTATTTTATAAATAATTTCTACTCCTTTTCGTCCTACCTAGCACTAGCTTGAAAAAATGTCAATACGCGTTGGGCCCACAAGATAGTATCAGGTACACCGAAAAAGGGTAGAAAATTATTTATAAAATAAGTTTGGGGGGGGGGTATAAGACCTTAGGATAGTATAAGTGTGTCTCTGAGATTTTTGGCATAGGTTGGGGGTGGGGGTACTTGTGCATTGTTTCCCTAATATATTCATTAATACAAATTGCAATTATATGTGAAAGGGTCAAAATGCACTTAAACTATTCGAAAGGAAAAAAAATTCCTCCATGTATAGTTTGGCTCAAAAATGCCCTTATCATCAATATTTTGGCTCAAAAATGCCCGCAGAAGGTCAAAAATGTCATTTTCTGAATAAATGTATTATTTTTCTTTTTAAACACATCTTCCTAATTAACATTATTAAGGAACACTATTCTTGTTTTCTTTATTCTAAAATCAATTCAACAAAAAAAATATAGGAAATTGTAATTAAAATAAATTAATTTCATGTACCCTTTTGATAGATAATATATGTCAGATATATCAGATCATAGTATATCCATCATTAATTTATATTTATATAACGATAAAATATATTGATGATAAAATAAAAAATATTTCATTTTCATTTTTTTATGAATTAAAGTAAGATAAACATTTGCTAATTTTTTAAAAAACGTTAATTAAAAAAATGTGTCAAAAAGATAATAATGATATTTTTGCTTAGAAAATGAACTTTTTTGACCCATCAAATAACATTAAGGGTATATTATTGATGGCAAGAGCATTTTTGGACCAAATTACAAACGAGGGCAATTTTTATTCCTTTAGCATAGTTTATGGGCATTTTTGAACCAATGTATTGACGGTAAGTGCATTTTTGACCAAACTACAAACGGGGGGAAGTGGGGTTTTTTTATTCCTTTCGTATAGTTAAGGGCATTATTGAACCAAAGTATTGACAATAAGGGCATTTTTGAGTCAAACTAGAAATGAAGGGAATTTTTAATCCTTTAACATATTTTAAATGCATTTTCAAATCTTTTCCCTATAAATAAACATAATAACTACGCAAATAAATTCAACTTATAATATATTCATAGATATAAATTGCAATTATAAAATATAAATTTTTAATAAAAAATATCTTTACCATAAAAACAGCAAATAATTTTGTTGCGAATGTTATTGTAAATGTTTTTTAAAATTTTGTTATTATGTTTGAACGTAAAAGTGGTGTATAAAAAAGAGTTTAAGTGGGTATTTTTGTTAATTTACCCATCTTATCCTAGGATGACTTTACTGGATTACAATACCTTCCCCCGTGAGTTATCCCTGGACTAATTGTTAATATTGGGATAAGTTATTAAATACTAAAAAATAGTGAATACCGACCTAAAATGGAGGTTGGTAATTTCCGACCTCCGAAGGTCAGTATTGTTGAAAAGAATAAAGAAAATAAAATAAAATACTTTAGAAAACCGAATGAAAGTTTTCGGTTTTACGCAAAATAAAGGGAGAAAAATAAATTAAGACATCTAGAGGTCAGAGTTTTTCTCAAAAAATGAATTATAATAAAAAATGATCTCTTGATGTCGGTATTAAATAGTAAATTAAATATAAAAAAAACAAAATAGAGAAAACTTTTGATTTAATTTTATTTAAATCATCTTCCTCAAGACGGTTTTGTGTAAATAGAAAACAAAAAAATGATAATATGACTTAAGAAGTTGGTAAAATTAAATAGTATGTATCTTACATTAATTTTTATTAAAATATTCATATAATGATTTTCGAAAAATTAATAAATTAATATTTTCAATTAACTTTAGAAAAATAGTCCTCCGGATGGTGATTTTATATAAGTTCAAAAATAAATTAATATAAAAGACCGACCTCATGAGGTTAGTATTTTTATTTTATCTAATTACTTTTAATAAAAGCAACATCCGGAAGTCGATTTGTTTAAATTGTTCCCATTAATCATAATCTTGCTAGCATAATTTTAATGTTTTGTTTTACAGCTACAATTAGTTTTTCAAAAAAGTGTAATAATTTTGTGTACTTTTATAATGAAAAGCTAGATCAATACTTCATTTTTAAAGTATGAAACTACGTTGATAGTAGTTGGTTTTTATGCAAAATAAAGCGGAAAAACATATTCCGACCTCAGAAGGTTGAAATTTTTCCACGAAAAATGGATTACAATAAAAATCCCCCTCTTGATGTCGTTATTAAATAAATAAAAATATTTTATTTTTTCTCAATTAAATATAAAAAAATTGAGTAATATTTAATTTTATTTTATTTTAATCTTCTTTTAGAGGACAATTTTGTGTAAAATAAAAATAATATAATACCAACTTATGGGAGTCGGTAAAATTAAATAGTATGTAATTATATTAATTTTCATTAAAATTTTATATGACGACTTCCCAAAAAATTAATAAACTAATATTTTCAATTAGCTTTAAATAAATCGTCCTCCTAATCGGATTTATATAGGTTAAATTATAAATTAATATAAAATATAGACTCCCGATGTCAATATTATTTAATAAACATGATTAATTTTTATTTATCTTAAAATTCAATGTGATATCAACCTCATGAGGTCGGTATTTTTTTTATTAAATCTAATTACTTTTAATAAAAGCGACGTCTAAAGGTTGGCTTGTTTAAAATATTCCTATTAATCATAATTTTTCTATTATGCATATTAGTAAATTTTCATTTTATACCTACAACTAATTGTTTTATGAAGTATAGAAATTTTGTTTACTTCGATATACAAAACTTTAGAATTCATGAAGTTAGCAAAAAATTAATAATCCATATTTATAGTATGAAAGTACGTTAATATGAATAAGGAGATAATTATACTTATATCTATAGAGTAATGTACAAATTCTATCAGTCTGTCGTCAAATCATGAACTTAATATCTCATGTAATGATGTAAAGGTGAAGAGATAACATATAATTCATCTTAGCATGAAAAAGATGATACTAATAAATGTCATGATATTATTAATTAAATATTATATTCATAATTAATCATTCAATTATTTGTACGTATAACCATCAATGTATTCTCTCATTTTATGAAATAGAGAATTAAATATCGGAAAGTGATGTACAAAGCAATTTTTATCAAGATTATTATGTTTGATCTTGAATGAATGTCAAGTGCATTGATCATATCATAGGCAATGACATATAAATGGTAATTCATTGGAGTACGAAATATGTTAATTATTTACTCCTCGAGTAGTTTAACGATTCAAGTTTTATATATTAGTGATTTACATATTAAATACATTAGCAATAAAGAAGTACCGGTGATCAATCAAAAGATATTTCACTACTACAAAAATTAAATTTAGCGGCAATTGTTTTGCGACAATGAGTTAATTGCCGCTATGTATAGGCGTGGGGCAAAATATTAACCGCTAATCTATAATGGCCAACAATAAGCATATTTTTAGTTGCAATTCTAAAGAATAGCCACAAAAGAGCCTCTTTTTTCTAAAAATTAAACTCCCGCATTTCTCAAAATTATTTCTCCTCGCCTTTCTGTAAATTTTGGAGAGAGAAAATTTTTTTACCTGCACTTTAAGGTAAACATTACTAACCTAAAAACTCTCCTACACAAATAAGAAAAATATTACTAAAAAGGATCTCCTAGAAAATAAGGATTCCCCAACCTAATTCATTAGATAAGCACACACATAAATTATATACTCTCTCAGAACAACGACATCAAACATCATATATTTTTGTCACGGTAGGGTAGCCAGAAACACCAATCTTTTCAGAAGTTTCTAGGTATGTAGATCCTTTTTTTAACTCCTCTATTTCTATGATGTTCTGCTATCTTTGTTGCTCTGCATATTGTCATTGAGAATTCATCCTTGTATTATATTTTATATAATAATAATAATTCATCAATATTTAAGCATTAACTGGGAAAGAAACAAAAAATAAACGTGAGGACTTTATCATTTTTTAGGCGTTATTTGTGATTTCCAAGTTGTTTTATTTGTAAAAGTGTTTTTTTTTTGTGTGTACGTGAACTCTAGCTGTTTTGACAATGGGTCAAGATCTCTTCTTTGAAATTATCAAGTTTTGTGATTAATACTCTCTGTTGTGACCCCTTGATCTATGTGTTATTATGAGTTCTTTGTTATTTAAATACTTGAAATCATCATTATAAATTCTTGAAACATCAACCATAAGAAGCTTATTTTAGGTAGATGTGAATTGTTCAGTTAGTTATTTTGATTATATCTTTCATGTTAATAATCTACTTTAATTCTGAAGCCAGTGTTTACTTCGCTTGAACTGTCACATGTCTCTGTTTTTCAATTAAAGTTTTCTTCAATGTCTCTTAATCATAAACACGTTATAAATTAAATATTGAATTTATAGATGCCTTGATCATGTTTTGTTTTAATATGACTTTCATGTTTGACATTTAAGAGTTCGTAATCTCGAAAGCAATAACTATTGTGTCTCACGAGTAACACAATTATCAACCTGTGTGTTTTCATATATAACTAGGCAGAAACTAAAACTCAATCAATTTGCTATTGTTCAGTTACATTAACGATAGTTAGGGACATAATTTGCAAAGTTATTTGACACTATAGGTTATTGATTTGTATGAGCTTGTGCAACCTTTCCTGATGAATACTGAAGCATCTGGTTCTCATTTGATTTTTTGCCTATGCTGTTGGAGTTACAGTGCCTTTAGTTTTACCAGGAACTAGCTCTTTTCCCTGAATTAAAGATTTGCCCATTTGCATTGAATTGCAAATGGGACTCCATGTTATTGCTAGAATAAGGAATGAATATAGAGTTAGTAAGTTTACCTGAGCCTGACTTAGTTCCATGAATCTGCAAACCTGTAAGTTCTTCTCCTCCTTGCAGCCCATTGATTAGATTATAAGGTGTCTTCAAAACCATAATGCTTCCACCTGGTGAAGGTTCAATGATTTTTTTCTGTGGTATAGATGTTGGAGTGAGTAAGAGACATTAGCATTGACATAAAATAATAGACATTTCAATCTGCACGAAGACTTAACTAGGTGAATTTATAACAGAGATCTTTATTGGATGGAAAAAATCCTTCGTTTGATGCCTAAACTGCTACACACCACTTTTGTCCAACAACCCAGGATCCTTTTTTTGAACCTTACTCTATTAAGCGCTACGACTTTATCATTAACAAGGTCACGACCCTTGTATTCACTACTGTAAGTCCCTTGGCTAATCTGCAAGAATAGAACGCTATTACACAACCTAAAAACTATAGAACTAGTATATTTCAATCTCCACCAACCCTTCACTAGGTGGATGTATAATAGGGACCTATTAATTCTCCCTAAATAGGCATATGGAACAAGGGGACAAAATCACACGATTCAAAATTAGGAGAAATGAAGAAGCAGAAGAAAGATAGAGGATATATAGAGTAAGACTGGGCAACGGAACGGGACGTACCGGTACCGTTCCGGTTCGTCCCGTTTCGGTTGCCTACGGGACGGGCCGGGATATTCTAAACCGGTACACGGAACGGGACGGAACCGTAGTTTCGTACCGGTGTACCGGTACCGGTTCATCCCGGTTCATTCCGGTTTCGGTCCGGTCCGGTCAGTTCCGGTTCCGGTCCGGTTTATTTAATATATATTAATTTTTTTATATTTTATATTTTATATGATTTATATTTATATTTTTTATAAATTATATTTTAAAATTTAAATTTTTTTCAAAAATCCCGCCCATTGAAATTGTAATTTGTTACAAATTTAAATAAATTAAATTGATATTTTTTAATTTTTGTAATTTAATTTACTTTTTTAAAATTACAAATTTTATTTATTTAATATTTACAAGATACAAGTTATAAATATAACTTATAAAATAAATATTAATAAATATAAGTAATAACTTATAAAGTATAAACTTCAAAAGATTTAAATTTTGAAAACTTTATTAGATTACTTGCAAACTTAACAATAATAAAAAAAAATTAATAAAATATCTTTAAAATAAACTTAAGTTAAAAATTATAGTATAAATTTAAAAACTATTAATTTATACTTAAAAAATAAAAAAAAATTATATTTTCGTAATTTAAAAAATATCGTCCCGTTAATTCCGTCCCGTTCCATCCCGGTCCGTTCCGGTTCATTCCGGTTCCGTCCCGGTATATAGTGGAACGGGACGGAACCGATGAATC